AGCACCTCTCCTCGTTGGCTCCTCTACCACTTGGAGAAGGAAGTTATCATCAACACATTCCAGGAACCTCCCAGATTGCTTATGCCCTGCCGTGCTGTCCCTCCAACAGATGTGAGGGTGGTTGAAGTCCTCCATGAGGGCCAGGGCTTGTGAGCATGAGGCTGCTCCTATCTGTCTATAGAAGGCCTCATCCGCTCAGTCTTCCTGGTCAGGTTGCCTGTAGCAGACCCCCACCGTCATGTCACCTGTCCCTGCCCTCCCTTTAATCCTGACCCATTAGCTCTCGGTCGGCTCCTCATCCATCCCCAGGCAGAGCTCCATGCACTCCAGCTGGTCATTGACATAGAGGGCGACACCCCCTCCTCGTCTCCCCTGCCTGTCCTTCCTAAAGAGCCTGTATCCCTCCATCCCAACACTCCAGTCATAGGAGCCATCCCACCACATCTCTGTGATGCCAATAGTGCGGTGGGGACTGAGCCTGCCTGGGCTTTACTGCCCGGGGCGGGGGAAGGAGGTGTCCTGCCCCGAGCACCTCGTAGCTTCTTCATGTGAAGCTCTCAGGTGCTCCTGGGTGCCCACCCAGCTCTTGTGAGGACCAGGCTGGTTCCCTGCACAGGGTGGACACTGTCCCCCATCCCTAGGAGGAGCATTGGGTCCTGTCTGTTTCCATGGAGAGGACAGGGGGCTGAGAGGCAGGGCGTACCCCAACTTCTCCCTCCCGTCTCTCCCTTTCTGTCCCAGTTCACTGCCGACCTCCACAAGCACCCAGAGATCCTGAATGTCTCCGACAGCGATGTTCTCCACAACTTCCTCAATGGCAACTTCTCCCTGCCCAACGCCAGTGTTCTGCTCCAGCAGCTGGACACCATTGACAATGCTGCCTGCGGCTGGGTCCACTTCATGGCCAAGGTGAGGTTGTGTCCGCCTGTGGGAACATGGGTGCTGGAGTGGCACCCACCGCCCACAGCCAGGCTCTGTGGAGCTGAAGAGGGGTCAGGTCTGCTCAGACCTACTTAAGGCCATGGGATGGGAGCCCTGGAGGAGATAGTGGCTTCTGCAGTGTCAGGAGCTTTGGGGTAGATGTCAATGGTGGAGGTGCCCATCCACTGTTGGGTTTGGGAGCTCTTTGGGTGGCTGTGGGTGGTACATGCTGCACTGTGTGCAGGGTCCACGTGCTAGACCCATCAGGGGCAGGGGGGGTCTCACTGGCCTTCCCCTCCCACTAGGTCAGCGTGGACATCTTCAAAGGCTTCCCGGATGAGGAGAGCATCGTCAACTACACGCTGAACCAGGCCTACCAGGACAACGTCACTGTCTTTGCCAGTATGTCCCCAGGAACCAGCTCTTTTGCAGGGGTCCCTGAAGCCATGTCCTTCTCCAGCTGTGCCCCGGGCTGGGGCCACTGGCTTTGGGACCTGGCTCCCGTGGTGCATGCGTTGGGTGGATGAGCAGATCGAGCATCTCGTGGTACCCGTCCTCTACCCCTGGCCCGAGCCCTGCTGGTCACTGGTCACAGGACCCTGCCGCTGTCCTGGCTCTCCCACTGCCGCTGCCTGCTGTCCACATGCCCTCACATCCCATGCCAGGGCCATGCCCACCCTCCTCATCCATGGCAGCCCTCGTGGTGCCCTTGGCTGGGACACACTGACCCCCTCCACGTCCCTGCCTGTCGCTGTGGGCTGGCCGGTGTGGCTGTCTCCCATGGTCCAGCAGGCTTCCCTGCCTCTCCCACTGCCCGGAGGCGTCATCTTCCAGACCAACAGGGATGGCCCCCGT